TGGCCACGTTTTCAGCGCGAAGAGACGGCAGGGAGGAAGGAGAGGAGACTGATGACCTGGCTTCACTCCTGTGTAGGTGAGAAACTTTCCCCTTCTCTCTGTGCCTCCCTCCTGCCACTGGCTAAGATGGGACCTGAGGGACCTGCGCTGAAAAGGGGAGGGCCCTGCAGGCTGGAGTGGGGTGTAGCTTAAGTTGAGGGTGCTAGAACTTTGTAAAATCAAGGTGTTGACACTAGAGGGTGAAGGACTGCAGTTAATGTCCCTGTCCAGGTCCCTAACTGCTCCTTAGATGTACCCCTGCCTTTTGTTGTATTCAGGCACCTGGATAATCTCCTGCAATGTGGCAGATTTGACCAGCTCTTAAGACCTGACCCGGATGAGATGGTACAACCGGTGGCTGCTAGAGCTGACAGACCAAGGAGGCAGACTTCCGAGGATGATTTTCTCAGCACCTCAACCTCACTGATTTCCCAGGTTCCTTCCACTGATCACCTCTATCTTCTCTCCAGGTCTGAAGATTTTCCCAGTTTCTCCTGAGTCACAGTCACCCCTGAGGGCCTCTTCACCACCAGGGCCTTCTATTCCTCAGGGATGCCTTTCACCTCAGCCGCTATCTCTTTCCTCCTCCCCACTGCATTCTCCCATTCCTATGGCCTCTCTGCCACCTCTGCCAGAAGCCGGCTTGGTTCTGCGGCAGCAGGGTTTATCACCACTCCCACTGGGGCCCATCCCACAGAATTCCTGTCCATAAAACAACTGATCCTTTCCTTCCCCTGTCCCAGCAATTACACTTCCTGGTCACTCAGGCTGTCCCATCTCACCCTTCCCCAAGTCAGAGACCTCCAGAACCTTGTGCCGCTGCATTTTAGCAAAAGGTAAACCCCAGGGAGGCCACCAGACCCCACAATTGCCAGAGGCCTCATTCCTGGTACACACCACACACAGACAGACAGAGAATGGGAGTTCCCATGTCCTCAATCCTGAGGTCCAGAAGTTTCTGGAAATACTAATCACCAAGAAGGTGGTACTGAAGATCTGTAAGAACACTGAAAAGGAGGGACAGCACATCTCCCTGTGTTCTCTGGTGAATGTGTTCAGATCCCTGGGCAAAGAACAGGACCTTGTCCCTGCACATCCTTTCTGGAAAGCAAAAGGACAAGCGGAGCAGCTTCCTGTTTCACAGCAGCGCTTTTACCACAAGATCTTGTGGGACCACTTGCACCAGAAAGGGAGCCAGGTTTTCTGGGGCCTCCTAATTGTACACAGTGAGTCCCTGGTGGGAAACACGAGATTGCCCGGTGCCTCCTTACTGTTTTCCCCATTTATATTTAATGAGCTCTGTGACTACGTGCTACAACACATTCAAGCTACTGTATCTCCACAAAAGTTTTCTTCCCTGCCCTTAGTCTACCGTGTGGGCCAACCCCACCTGTGTCTCAGAAACAGAACTGGGGTCATGTCCCATCTCTCCCATGTGCACCTTGGCATTTAGCTCCCTGGAAGTTTCTAGTCCAACAAAGCAGAGCGGTTAAAATATCCAATTTCACTCACTATTCATCTACTGCAAAGCAAATTTTTGAAGGCACCAGGAGATAATAGAGCTTTACCAAATGTGGTCAAAAAATTTCAGGAAGACTTTACCCAACCAGCTGAAAAACATGGGATCCGTCAGGAAAACACGTCCTCTGTGAAAGTCCCAGTGGATGTTACCTACTCCAAGCTTCGGGAACAACTAGAGCAAAACCTTCAAACAAGACTCATGTGTGGGCTGCCCCCTATGGTCCACCTATCAGAGAGGGAAAGAGCCCCAGGGACAGGGCACGCAAACCATAATTGTGAGCCTTGCCAGATCTCACTGATAGAGGACAGCAGTCAGGTCACAGAAAAGACCAAGTCTGGGTTTCCAGAAGTACCCCAGGTATTGAGATACTCAAGCAATGGCCTGAGAAAAGTGCAGGACAAGAGTCCAGAAAAGTCTCCAGAGAATGAACTGGAGTGCATCTCTCAGGGAACATCACAAAGAAAAGTATTGGCGCACTGAAGAGGTGATTCAGGAAATGAATCAGTAGGCAGTTCAGAGAAGAACCTAGAAGACATTGTGAAAGTCTGTGTGAGAGGGATGGTGGAGCAGACCAGGGGCAGGATCCCTAAGGGTGTGGATCACTCCACCCTTAGTGTGCACCATGCCTGCAACCCTCCTGGATTCTCAAATGTCCCCATGGAACCTGGAAACAAACCATCCTTGAATTGTCAGGAGTGTGGCAGGAACATCAAGCAGACTGTGGAGACTGAGCGGAAGAAGCCCTTTGACAGGGCACTGATCAAGGGACCCAGTGTGATGTCAACCTTCCATAACCCTCATGTGAGTCTGAGGAGTTTCAAGTCTCTGGGATCCACTAAAAGCCTCCCCGTGCCCAGAATTTCTACTGTGCAGAACACAGGAGACTCATGCTTGGGTACGCAGAAAGAGACAAAACACAAGAGTCAAGATCCAGCCCCTGGGGTCCTCCTGCAAGACTTTGCCACTGGTGAGATCCTTCCACACTCCACCTTAAGAATTCCCCTCACTCATTACGTTCTGTCTTCTCACAGTCCTCCACCCAGCCCCCGAGGAGTGCTTGCTAGTAGAGCATCACCTTCACTAGAGAAATTCAACCTCTTAAGGAGGGACACAATGAGCCAGGAAGAAAAAGACCTCAGGATCTCAAAATGCGAGGATCCACAGAACATCAAGAGCATCGTGTTTGGTCCACCCAAGGGTGGAGAGGGCTTTGCGAGCCCCAGGAGATGGATCACTAGGAGCCCATCACCTTGCTGAGGCATTTGTGGCCTCCTAGTGAGGGCCAGGATGAGCCAGACACGAACAGATGCATGTTGCCAAAACCCCAGGAGCCAAGAGTGACCAAGTCCAACATATTTATCCCACCTGAGAAGAGAGACAGCTTTGGCAGCCCAAAGCCAGGAGGAAAGATGGACAGATTTGCAGGAGGGAAGGGGGCTGGAGGGCTGATTTCCTCTTCTCTGGTGAGGAAAGCAAGAGACACAATGCGGAGCAAGTTGCTGCTCCTGGCAGAGAAGCAACCAACGCCTTCCAAAAGCAACACTGGGACCACAGTCAAGAATTTTCTGCAGCACATGCTGCCCAATAAGGACAGAGAACAGGAAGAACCCCTGCACACAGTCCAGGCCCCGGCACCCACTACCCAATGTCAAGGGCCCGTCTCAGGCAGCAGACTCTCTATGCACAGTGGGCGCGTTGAATCCCATGTGCTATTGATGAGTGTTAGTCGTATTTTAGAGGAGAAACTGAGGTTACAAAATGATGTTTCTGCCTCCACAGAAAATTTGCAGACAGAGGAACCCTGGGTCAATAGGTGGTCCTCCTACCAAAAGTATGCTGCCTTCCCACAGTCTAAGAGAGTGATAAGCAAGGTGGCCTGTGGTCAGCAGGCCAGGCCTGAGCACCACAGCCATTGTATGACTATGAGATGGAACACAGAGAGGGCCAGCAATCCTGCAGTCCCACCCCAGGAGCCAGGGCCCCTAACTGGTCACCTCCATTGCAGGCCCATGGAGCCTGGAGCTTCAGACAACCCCATTCACTGCCCCCAGGCGCTGTGCTCTTCAGAAAAGTGTCTTCTCCAGTCAGTCACACAGTTCTTCTCACACCTCTTCTGGGGGAAAATCCTTGCTGAGCAAACCTGTTCTCTCTCACAAGCACATATTGTGTGCACTAATGGCGTCTTTCTAGGGAGACGTCTGTGGATTCCCAATAAATGATTTTATCTCATCAGAGGTAGTGGCTTCTTTCTGTGTTGTCCTGGGCCCTGGGAAGGAGGGAGTGTTGAGTTTTCCTAAGAGCAGCTTCAGGCCTAGGACTTAGGCAAATCACTTGGTGTCTCCAAAGTTCATTTCCTGACCCAGCTGCCAGGTACTTCAGCTCATCCCTTCCCCCTGGATGGCTCCAGCAAGATCAGAAAATAATGCCTGAGTTCCCAAATGCCAGCGGGAGCAGAAGGAAGTTTTCACAGTGGGTTCCTGGCTTTGCATTGTTAGAAGCAAAGCTAGAAATAGATAAATTAGCAGAGCATTCATGAACTGGAAAAAGGTTTCAGTAGCAGGCAGCACATTGGGCCAAAAATGGTTTTTTGCACTTTCTGAAGTACCTCTGAAGAACTTCTCTTCTCTGAGTGCCCTTACAAGGCATGATAAAAAAAATACTGTGAATGCTCCTGCTAAATGCTATTAGCGAGAAGGGCAGGTTTGTGAGAACACAAGGGTTTGTCTTCATCAACCTTATTTACCAAATTTGGCACTGTGGTACTTATGGTTCTTCCCCAAATTCCAAATCACCATGAAAGCACAGTGTTTTGAATTCTGTAGACATTGAGGTAGCTAAGAAAGCACCATTAGAAATGCTCATGAAAGAAGCTTTCCTGAGTAGCTAGAATGATTTGAAAAGTACGATCAAAGCAAGGGAGTGTAACTTTAGGAGATAAGAGGTAATTTTTTTTACTGTAATTATTTTGAAAAATTTCAACACGCACCATATTTTTCTGTTATATCTCATAAGAGGTTAACATTTCTTAAATGATGAACTGAGTAGAATTAAAGCTGTGAGGAACATACATATGATAGTGAGAAAAGTCCATCGTCACCCAACATCAATGAATCTCTTATTATTGTGAATTGTTAATTCAATACAATGACAACAAACCCTCCATATCAATGATAGATTCAACAAAGAAGACATAGAAAACTTTGAAAAGAGTATTGAATATGCAAAGAAAATATGCTGACCTATCCTTATAATTACTCTCTAAACAATCCAATATAGCATATGACAACATAACAACGATTGAGATGGTGTTATCATTGAATTGGGTATTATAAATGTTCTAGAGATGGTTGAAAAACAAGAGGATATGCAGAGATTTTGTGGAACCATATGTCATTCTATGTGAGGGATTTGAACTTCTGACAATCTTGTACAAATCCTCTGGAAGGGATTAATGTGTATATTTACACATTAATGTGATGACAGATACTTTACACATGATACATTTACACATTAATGAGATGGTAGCTGACAAAATTGCTCAGACAATTTTGCTTTTCTACATGGCCTTTTAGGGAACATTTTCACGTTTGTGTTAGCTGACAGGACTTCCATACCTCTTCTAAGCCATGGCATCTCTGCATGGCAGACAAACATAAATAGTCCCATGGGCTGTGGCTTTGGGGTTTTGTACTCCCACTTTATGTGATTATGAGGACTGCAACTTGATTCTTGCCAGTAGAGTACGGCAAGGGTGATAGGATGTCATTCTCATGACTGTGTTGACCCCATCTCCTGTCAGACTTGTTCTCTTGGTTGGTGAAGTAATTGGCCATTTTTAAAGTGCCACTTGATACTGAGGCATCCAGAGTGTCTGAGGGTGGTTTTATCCCACACCCAGTAAGAAACAGGTGTTCTCAGTCCTATAACCATGAGAAATGAATCCTCTAACTGGGAACAAATCCAGTTTAACCAATCACTCCTCATGTACACCTCAGGGTCCATGGAGGCCTTAAGTAGAGTTGGATGGAAGGTGGACCATGATACTTGACCTTGATGTGATGGGTTCTTATGGGTGAGAGTGCCTATAGGCCGAGAGGCTTAAGGGAGACAGACTCCTTCAATGTCATTATTTTCCCCAGTGATCTTCCTACACTTCTGTATACACATTATCTATCTAATCTAACTATTTATCATCTTTGTCTTCCTTTCATCTATCATTCGTGTCTCTCGAGAATGATATCACAGGCTTAGGAGCATTCACACAGCCCAGGCTGGAACAGGAAGGATTGCACCCAGTTACACACACTGAAAAGGCCTCTGCGTGGATGCTATATTAGCCATGGCAGCAAACAGGCAAAACCAGAGAAGGAAATCAGGGTCTCCTGAAGGCCTCCTTGTGACTGAGCCCCTGGGACATTTGCGTGCTCTCTGAGCCAAGAGCATGCCTTTCCTTGCTCACGCAAGTGTCCTTCTTTCCGAGTGAGCTCTGGCTCAGGTGCAGGTACAGAACACAACACACTGCTTGCACTTCTAGGCAAAAGCAAAGGCACAAAAGTACTGTGGGTAGGGACAGGTAGGAGACTAAGGACCAAGACATCTGATCTCTGGTGACGGGAGGGAGGACCAGAATGGAACCAGTACTGACAGTCTTCTTCCCATCCTGCCTTCCCCTGGTTGAAGTGGAGGCTCCCAGCTTTGGTGCCCTGGCTCCTGCTGGGCTCTGTGCTCATTTCCCTCTCAGTAATCTTGCAGCTCTTTTGGGGGAACTTTGTTGTGTACCAAGCACTCATAAAGAAGAAACTTTCTGAGAACATGACTGACAAGGGTGAAGCAGGAGGCTGGAAATTCCCTACTTCATGCCTCTGAAACTCGTCACGATGTCAATTCCATGCTCTTTTTTTCTGGTCTCAATTTTGCTGCTGATTGGTTCTCTGAGGAAACAGCCTGAGAATGCAGGACAATGGCCGTGACCCTCAGGAGCGCAGCAACCGGGTTCACACCAGAGCTCTAAAGTCCCTCATCTCCCTCCTTGTTCTCTATGCTCTGTCTTTTGTGTCCCTGGTCATTGGTGCTACAGTCTTTATCACCTCTGACAGCAGGTGGTACTGGCCATGGCAGATCTCAGTCTACCTGTGTATGTCTGCTCATCCCTTTTTCCTCATCAGTACCAACCTGAAACTTCGAGGCACGGTCAGGCAGCTACTGCTGTTGGCCAGGGGTTTCTGGGTGACCTAGGTAGTTCAGTGTCCTAATCCAACCCCCAGAAGGGACTCAGGGGAGGGATCAGAGCCTCACCTCACCTATATGGTAATGTGCTCAAAGGCAGGAAGGAGCACAGAGAGGAAAAGCCATCTGACCACCCTTCCTGTCCTGGGAAACCATTACAATGAACCCTTATTAACCCTTGGTAGCAGCTCTATCTGGAAGTTCAGAATGTACAATTTTGTGGTCATTTTATCGCTAAATTCCCTTCAAAGTCTGGAAAAGACATCACACGAATTTTGTGTGTTGTATTTTCATTATCATTCACTTCAAGATACTTTGAAGTTTTCCTTTTTTTTTTTTTTTCTGCTCTGACCAATAGGTTAATGAAACAAGTGGTGTTTTCTATTCAAATATCTGTGGCATTTTCCCAGATATTTTTCTGGGTTGATTTTTAAATTGATTCTGTTCTGATCATTCACAGGATCATACTGATTTTATATGACCCATTTGTGGAAATTTTATAGTTAAATTCCTAAATAACACAGTGTCCTAATCCGACACCCAGAAGAGGAAGTTGGACTGCACACTATTCTAGTGTGCACTATTCTACTCCTTTAAATTTTTTGAGACCTGTGAGACAGCATATGATCACTCCTAAGGATGCTCCCGGAGAAGAACATGTCCTGCTGATGGTGGATGGAGTGCTCTCTAAGTGTCACTCAGCCACTTGCTTGATGGCATTGTTCCCATCTTCCATACCCTCCATGTCCTAGCTGGTTTTCTGTCTGCTTTTCCAATTACTGAGCGCCATGTGTTGAATTATCCTATTGTGTCTTTTTCTCCTCTCATTTTCTTTATCTTTGCTCCCTTCCACTCAAAGCTCTGCAGTACACTGAGGAGCGCCAGGCTCGGTACTCTCACTGTGCAGTGTCCCCAGAGTTAGAGGTTCCACACTCACAATTTAAATGTTACATATTATTGTTTTTCATTGCACCAGGTTGTGTCTCTTGTCTGTGCTTTGTTTGTCTCTGTGTTTGTTAACTGATTTCTTCCAGGTCTTAAGGTATGTTTTCCTGATTGTTTAAAGGTTTAAGAATTTCTGATTGAATGTTGGACTTTAGGATTTTCAATTTTTGGACACTTGAATTTGTTGTATTCTGTTAAAGCATTTTTGTCTGAGTGGCAGCCAGTTAAATTTGGTATAACCTAGTGTAATCCTGTGGGGCTTTACAGACTAATTGAGGGAATTCTAAGGTGGTCTTCATTCTAGATATAACTTTATTCAACTTCCAAAGTTTTGTTTTTCTGCCATTCGTACTCCAGAAAATAATAACATTTCATTGATAATGTTTCTTCCCCATACATGAAGAAGGATAAAAATGAATCTTGGCTCCATTTGGTGTCTGGAGGTTATTTGTTTTATCATTTTTCCTTCCTTCAAACTTGCTCATTCCCAGTTTTGTGGGCCTGTTACACTACATCTACCTACTAATGTTTAGCCAAACCTCAAAGACCTATTTCTAGCACTTTCCACCTGTGTGTCTAACTCCTCCCTGTAGCTCTGCTCTTCTCCTAATTTCCAAATTCTGTCTCCTCATCCTTAACTGAGCAAGGTTTCTAAACTGCTTGAATTCCTTCTCTGTATGCCACAATCTGGATATTGCTTGCTGCCAGAAAGTCTGTGTGATTATATCAATGATTTCATTGCTTTTCTTTCTCACAGGAGTACAGTTCTCTGCTATTTTTAAAATTATGGATGTTATAGTTTTGAATGTTTTCTAATTTTCTCTCTATTTATAGTAACTGGGTAAACCTGTAAACTGTTCCCTCCTCACCCTGGATAATACCTACCCACTTTTTATTTTTTAATATCTTACTCTATAATCTTTCAAATTAAGGTTCATTATCTTGTTCATGTCTCTAATATTTCACAAAGAAGAACAGTCTATTCATACGAAAGAATGAGAGGCTATAGTAATTGTGGGCTTACTTTGCCATTGTGCAGATAAGATTACAAGGTATGATTTTAATCCTTTTTGAGTAGTCTTATCAGAGTCAGATGGACTTAGATTGAGGATACATCCTCTCATGGGAATATACCCACTTCAGAGTGGACAGGGAGGCAGAAAATGGTAAGGCTACTGGATTCCACAATGCCATTCAGGGATGCTATTTACTTGATGAAAACGTCATCAACACTACAGATCCTAACGTTTTCCATCAGCTTTATCTTACTTGCTAGAAAACATTTTTTTCTCAGAGCACAAATTCTGGGGTCTCCTGTGAGGCACTGACCAGCAGCACAAGAGCTGACCTGTTACCCTGTGAATAGTGTTTCTAATGACCTGTGTTTATTAGCCCCACAGATCCTAGCCCCTTGCATTATATCTGACACATTCGTTTCTGTGACTTTGCAGAGTTCCAATAATTGGATCAATTATTGTATAGCCCCGTGTTGTACAGTCCAGGTATTGAGGACCTCCTCTTCATCAGTGTACCGCACATTTCTTTACATTCAGGACATTATTGAAATGCGTAATCCAACATGATTGCTGCCATTTCCATCATTTTTACATTGTGGTTCATTTCCATTTTCCTGTTGCTCAGGTAAGGAGGTCAGAAGGAGAAGGGTCTCAATATGTGCTTCAGGCCAACCTTCAGCTTGCCATGTACCCACGCTGACCTTGAGCCCGCAATCCTGCCTCAGTCTCATCTCTGAGAATCAGGGTGAGTTACTGTGTCTCCCTTTGAGGAGTTTGCTGTTTTCTTCCCTCCATCTGTCTGAAACTCCTAGTGCTGTCTTGGTCTTTCCAGCCCAAGGAACTGGTCCTTTGGCCTGTCCCTTCAGCATATGCAGGATGCAGGTGTTCTGCTGGTGGCCCCTGGTCCTGGGAGGGTACTGGGAGATGTGAGGTCCTGACTTTCTGTGGTTCTTTTCCACTGTCTAAAGGTCTCACCACTTTATTTTGCCCCACAACCACCCACAGCCTTGGCTTTGTTCTGTCTCCTTAAATATTTAAAAATCCGCTGTATAGGAGGTGGAGACCTAAAGCTAAAAAAGCTTATTTTCTTCTGTTACATATGTGACCACTAATAACCTAAACAAAGACACTTTGACATTCAAATTTTTGAGACTTAGACTTATCCAGCGCATTGCAAGTGGCCTAAAGTTCCTGGTGTGTAGACATTCTTTTTCTTTCCCAGCCAACTCTGTCAGTCTTGTTCCACTCTCCAGATTCTCCTCACTCACCAGCACCTTGGCCTTCACTCTCATTCAGTCCTTGCTCTGAAGTCGACACCGCAGACTGTGCACCCACACCACCACGGGCCCCACACCCTCAGCTCCGTCTCCTCCTCCTCTGCCAGCGGAGGCCTCCTTCCATGCCCTCCTTCTTCCTCTTATTTCTCTCTGCCCACTCCCTGCTCTTGCACCCATCACCTCTCTCCTAAACCAGAGCCTCCCCTGGCCTCTGTCTGCCTCCTCCAGGAGATGACAATGCAGAATGGGTCTATTTTCATGTCCCCTTCTCCCGCTTTGACTTCTTCCAATTAAAAAAAGGCTTGGTTTGGTCCCCCTCAGACCCCAGTGCAGCCTGCAGTCTCACCCCAACCAGTCAACTTCCTTTCGGTCTCTCTCCCCTCCACACTCTGATGCCTTTCTTGCCTTCTCCTACTAGCGTAACTCTGTGCTGGTAGAATAACAGCAACATCCTGAGATCTCTACTTTGATTGTCCTGAAGAAGTACTACAGTACACCAGGGAGAGAACTGTCCTATGGATCTCGTTTTTCTGTTCATCTGACTCCTTCCATGGCTGAAAACCAGCCGCTTTAGTGATTTGCCCGTACCATCACCACCCTAGAGGCAAGAACAGGGCTGAACTCCAAACTCCCAGCCCACCACAAGTAAATACAGGAAAAATGGAAATAAAACAAACTATCAGTCCTGTCTTAAAAATAAAGCTTTCTAAAATGGGTCTAAATCACAAAACTGAGTATAAACCGGAGTCTATATTCAAGTTGGTACAGAGAATAATCAGACTGTAAGGTCGAATATCAGCTTAGAAAGTTCTTGGTTTTCACACAGTCTGCAATGAGTCTTAGAAAATCACAAGCAAAATTGACTTTTGTAACTCAGGCTGCCAAGAGAGAAAACAAGCTTGTTGACTGCCCATAATGAGGTATGAGGCTAATGAGGGCCCACTGCCAAAACATTTTAGCAGTTTTGTAAATTTACTTCAAATTTAAGGTGTGAGTCTGTATATTTGTCTGATGGATGTGCCTGAAATGTTTCTGATAAACAGCTTTCGGATAATCCTCAAGATGCACTTGTAGGTTTGCCTTCCTCCTTCCTTGGTGTGTGCATGTACATAGATAACTTCTCATTCAATACCATAGAAAGTCTTAAAGGGCTGTCAACAGCTGCTAAAAGGGAATGTCTTTGTTCTTCTTCCTTCTTTCTGCAGGTAACAAGACAACTTACTGTTCAAAGTTAATCAAAAGTGTGTTATTCAAGCAGGTATAGTGAAAATGTGAAATCTGAGTTAACTTTAAGATACACAATGTACCAGGAATTGCAAAAAAAAACCCTCAGTGGCTACTAGGCTTGTTTTGAAAGAAAAGCATCAGAAAGGGCAAAGAAATTTCTAAAGAGGGAGATTTAGGGGTGTCAGAAGACTTGTGAGAAATGAACCTTATAAAGAACATATCTGTTTGACTCTAGTGTTTTTATTCTTGTTTGTTTGCTTAGTTTAGGCCTAAGCATCATTCCTTTTAATACTTTTTATTGCTCTCATGTGCTAAAAGGGGCTAGGACACCAGCTCCCAGTCAGTAATTCCTTTCCCTTGTGGGAGGGACCAGATGACCACCACCTGGAACAGCAGTGACGATCAATCAACAATGTCTTCAGAATAAGAGGGGGTACTAAAACAATGTGTAAGCTGTCAAAATGAAAATGGACTGACGTGAGTCCACCCCACCAAAAGATAGAGGTGAGAAGTTATGAAGAATGGTTCTTCTGCATAAATGCCTGATTGCAACTGCTACCGAGGATATTATTTGGGTCTGGCTATAAAACTTTTCTTGGTAAAATTGCCTAATAGTGATCATTCTTCAA